AAATAATGTATTTAAATGTCACAGAATCTTGAGTTACCTTAAAAAATACATTAGTATCACTATGTCTTGTGGTATTTTTGTACTTTTGAATAGGAATGAAAGCTCTTTGTGGAACACAATTGTGGAACGACCTCCCATCTGAAATTTAACATTCTAAGTCGCTCCCTATTCTCAAAACCGGACTGCGTAAATATCTTCTAACACGGTCTTAGTTTGCAACGTGTTATATATTTATTAGTAAGTATAATTTTATTTAGGTATATTCATTTATACATTTATATATGTAGGTACAATATATTGTTATTTACTTATTAAGTATTCGATAAATTACAATGGAGTTATATATAATTCAATTCATTTTGATTTGTAAATTGGCACATTACTTCTCCCGCTCCGATTATGTTTCCTCAACCTCAAAGGTTGTCTGGACGAGATCGCTCTTAGCGATAAGACCGCCCTTGCCCGCATTAGTTTTAAGTTGTTCGTGTACTGTTCTTGTTCTTTTGTGTCAGCAATAAAGTGTATATCTATCTATCTATCTCTTTGTCAGCATTACCCCATGTAAGACGAAATACTATTCTGCAGAGCTTTCCACTTAGCAATATGGTAATGATTAATTTCTAGATATGTTTGTAGGTGCAGACAGTTGCGTTGGTTGATTAACGACCTACCTCCACGGTATCTCGGTTAAACAAAGGTTTCCCCTTAATATACTATTCAGCTATTAGTTCTAATACGGCATTATAATGGCGGATATTGGTAAATGGGGTTACGCAGGAAATTCGACATCGATCGCCCACTTCACGTGATTGTGTAGAATCAGGACATTGAGAGTGGTGCAGTTTTGGTTTTTCTTAATGTTTGAAAGAAAGAAAATAAATTTATTCAGCACAACACATGTTACAAAGTACAGTGTTATGATTTTATGCTTAAAGTGTATTGCACTAAATATACTCGATGTGCACTAAAAAGAGCGCAACCCAGCAAATACTGCGGTGGAGCCACAGTGCTGGTTTACAGCGGACCCTTTTCGAAATTGCCGATTTAAAAAAAAATACAAAAATTAACAAGAAAATAAAAAATATGGCCGCGTATTAAAATGTTTCATAATAAAGATACTATTACAGAAGGAAGACTTTCTACGCATTAAATTAGCATTTTCGTCACAATAATACGTAAAAGGTAGTTTAGAAAAGGTAGTATTTTTACATATAAACTATTGTTTTTGTTTCTTTTTATACGTATAAGATATAGTGATGGTTAGTTAATTTTGGTATTTTATATACGAAATATCCGCGATTATTGGAGCTCTTGTATGAAAAACCAAATATTTTGCTAAAATTTTTAGTTATCCTAACTAAAAAGGGCAGAGGCAAATCCTTATTTTCACAAATATAATATAATTTCACAAATCACTTTCATGTATAAATGACTATCAAAAAAACAATATCTAAGTCCATGATCAAAGTATAAAAAACAAACTTAATTCGAAATATGAATAAATATATATAAAAAGGTCTGTCGCCAACAATGACTATGAACAAAATAATGCAGAAATTACCTCCGGCGACAGTCGGGTATACGGGTATGTTATATTCGAAATCTATGGGGATACTATATAATATTCCATTGAAAGTCTTTATGATAACAATAAGATGCCAATAAGAGTAATTACAGATATTTTTCAGAGATTCCATACAAAGACTTGATAATTTTTTGAAAATAATACCTACAATAAGAAGTCCACAGAGTGAAATCTCATTAGTTCACACTTATTAAAAAAAGCAAGCGCAATGGCTAGTACCAATTATTTTTAATGAACCACCTTGACATGAACTGTTCGCCGTACGGCCAGTATGAATGGACCTGACTGGCCAGTCGCAAATTGTAACCAATTTCGCAATGTGCCGCTGCCACTACGCTAAACGCTGTTTAGTAAAAGCGGTGGACATCGGATATTAAGGCTTTATGTAGAAATAGTAGACTGATGAGAACCTGGCTGTTTAAAAAAAATCTCATTCCTATTCTAAATACTAAAAATGATGCTGATAATAATAATGTCCAAAAAATGACGGACTTTTATAGTTACAACTGCAGTCTTTACTAAGATTATTTTTATTTTAAGTATAATAAACGAAGAAAGAAATAGTGATGAAGAATGTTAGAACTATATTCCTTATCTTAAACCAAATTACAAAAGACGTCGTAATGAATTCAAGATTTATCTTGAAAATTCCACTAATTACGAATTCAAAGTTCCCGCCGCTTAAAATACTATGTAAAAAAACCCGAATGTGAACTAAGTTGAAAAATAAAATTGAAAACATAACTATTAGAACTACAATGGAAAATATTACTGAGTATCCCGATATTTAAACGAAGACATGGCTCAAAGGACTTGTAACCAAGCCAAAACTCTTATTAAAAGAAATAAAAAATAATACTGATAAAAATTGACTTTGATTAAATAGGGTAAAGTTGGAAATTCAAGAAAGGTTTAGAATAATTTGTATATGTAATATCGAAGTCATTGATAATGGTGTACAAGCGGTTTAGAATGGACGAGTAATTTTTAGTTTAACTAGATACCTATCATACATGTATTATATAAGGAGTAATAAACATGTTTTAGAACGTCATTATTAAAAGGTTGTAGAGGCGGTTAATTTATAGTGGAATCAATGATAGCGCCAAAAATGGCAGTTCATGCCACCATAAACACCTGAAGTGCTTTATCATCTTACTATTGCATATTTTTGTCAATTAAACCTATTATTGACACAAAACATAGGCAGTTATCCTAGGTAAAGCAAAGTTAGTTGTTTTGTAATTTGGTTGTCGGTTTTGTTTGACATTAGTTACGAGGTTTGATTTTTCAAATTTCGCAGTTTATAATGTTCTATGTCGCCGTTACTACCTCCGCGCTGTTATAATAAATATCTTATTTCTAAACATTGCTTTAGCAGCATCACGAACACGCTTCGGGATAACTTCTAAGTAAACAATTAAGGTTCTAGGTTCTTTCGTCGTAAAGTTCACGTAGTCTTTGTTGACTTTTATGAGTTTACTCCGTATCACAATATTTGAAATGTTGTTAAATCACATAATTTTAAGCTTAAAAACATTCTACACATTGCTACAGGGCGGGATTCCTCTTAATATCTTGGTTCCTCACAATTAGTGTTTCGGCTGGGCTTGGGTAAAACATATCGATGTAAAAAAATTTAGTTTTTTTAAATCTTGTGTGTTAATCGTTATTTTTTCGATTATAAAATTTGTATCAAATTCGATATTTTTTTGAGCACAGTTCAGCATACAATGTTTTTTGGCACAGACGAGAACAACTCGCTTATTTGGTGCTACATTGATGTAATTGTAATTTTGGCAAATTTGGATAAAGGATGTTAATACGTAATTAATTAAGTCTTAATTCAATTATGCCAAAATTGCAATTAAGTCAATGTTGCACTAAATGAGCGAACTGTTATCTACTAGTTACGTACTACAAGAGATTCTAACGTATAACTCGGTAACTAATAAGCTTTTTTGGGAAAACTTCTTGGGAACTGACTAACCGACTTAGGCCAAAATATCGATATTATTCTAGATAAATTGAGATTATCGATATATTTTTTCACATTTTTCGGCCAACAATACGTAATTATCTATTGTTGGCTTAAAAAGTATAAAAAAATGTGGCAATTTAACTTTGGCGTACGGGCATAACGCGAGTACGCAAGTCAGCATCAAAAATAGATGAGGTTAGGTTAGGTTAGCGTCATCAGTTCGTTTATTGAGTCAATTGTTTCCTTCCGTTCCTCTTAGTGTTGTCTTCGTTTTGTCATTTTAATTTTTTCATTTTTATTAACGTTCATTTATTTTGGAAATGTCATTGCATTGCTACTTTCTGGTTTTGAGACTTGTCATTTTATGTCTCAGGGTAACGGGCGCAGTTTGCGATTTAAAGTTCTGAGGGGTACCTACTGTACATTTTATGGGGAGGCGTGTCGCAGCGCACCACTAGGCGCACCACTTGTTTGTCCAGATAAAAAATAAAATATAATATAAAAAATATTTGTTTATTTTTTGTAAAATGTAAGTGCGCATTTGACCTCCATCTCACCTGATGGAAAGTCGATGAGGTCAACGACAGAGCATGCACACCTAAATAAGTCCTATTCACTGTCGCCTTCAAAAGGCCCAAGTTATAACGTTCAAGGAACAAGTCTGCAGGCACTGAATTCCACTTCATAGCCATTCGTGCGAATATTTGGAATATCCACAACATAGGGTGGGACCCAAGCTTACGCCTAGTTCCCCGATGATGGAAAGGGGAAGGCGGAATTAAATCGTGTAATTGCTGCAGTGTGGTTGCTCCCCTATTACATCTCCTAATTTTCTATCTCAGACATTGTTCAAAAGAAGTTGCTACTAAGCAATAAAGCCGACTATTATGATAGCGCGGCACATTAGCTTATTTAGCGCTCACTTTTGTTATTAATGGTTTTTACGGCTTCAGGTTCTGTGATGCCGTTTTGAGCAAATGCATATTGTTCAGAGTTGTCAATGTAATTTTTAATTTGCAACAAATAATCATTAAATTACAGCATTAATTAATTTGTCGCCTGGCTACTCATTTAAAAGAAAACTGATTCCCTATACGGGCATCGGAAATATAAATATTTTTTTTTTGGTTAAAGTTGTTTGTTAATATTATTACAAGTACATACAGTCTTACTTTTGTTTACAAAGTGAATGTAAAAACGTATGACAAAAAAGATTCCAGGTTTCATCATGTGATCGTTAGTTATTAAGAAACTAAGTAACGTAATTAGAATCTTATTTTACAGCAGAACAAATTACAACATAATTTTATCACAGCACATAATATTTAGGTAGCTTTTTCACTACATAGGTACGAGTAGCATGTGTTCTTCAGAGAAGTATGTTGTCTGAAATAAAAGGTAATGGTAATTAAAAGTAATAAATAAAATTCTTACAAAAGGTTGCGGCTGTTCGCACCACTTGTATCCGCATCTGATGCATTCGTCACAATTCCTGATGTACGCGATGGCATCAGGATCGCAGTCCCTTGCATACACATACTGAAATGATAGTAGCACTAACACTGCATGAAACATATTCGCCATAGTTTATAAAAACGTATATTTTTTACACAGAAAAATTTAACACTGGCAATTTTTTCAAGTTTGAGTGCTGCTGTTCTAAAATTTTAAATTATATTCGTTGGTAGCGTTCGCGGAACGTGTTCTATTATTTGAAAATTTGATACGCGCGACCGCGTTCACGTCTCGGCGCTGACTGGCCGACCTCCGTGACTATCAGACGTTATACACGTCTGAGTCATCAACATCATCGCGCTCTTCAGGTAGGTACTATAGAAATTCACTGGAAATTAGGTGAGACAACGAGACACTTTTAGAGATTTTTTATATTATAATGATAAATAAAATGAATGTTCAATTATTACACACTCAATAAAGTAATAATAATAAATAAATAAAAAGAATAATTTCATTTAACTCTATAAAAATACGGTGATTGCATAATCTCGCTCTATTTTCATAAATATATAAGTATTAAATAAAACTTGTGCACAATAATTAGCTTTTTTAATTTGCTGGTGGATACAAAATAAATAACAACACGAGCACAAAAATAAATAGTAATAAATATCACATACACAGTATCAATCATACACATATCATAATCATACCTTAGAATAATAATACTATAAAGGTATTTCTTATCAGCAAATTTAAGTTATCGAAATAATAATGTCTTGTTATTTGACGTTTTATTACGCTTTATAATCTTTATAATATAAAAAATAAAAATTAGATTATTATGTCAATATTCATTCCCTGGGGGACCACTCAGGTAACGGATAAAAGTCGACAACAAAAATAAACAAAAGAGAGTCAATGGGTTCTACTACAGTGGGGTTGAGGATGATCCTCTAATTCTTGTTACGGCTTGAATGCTATAGACAATATATGCTCAATTTGACTTCGCGCTTGGGCGATTGAAGCGGGAATGTAAACCCTTTTGCTTGGTACGACGATGACGTACTTAGACGTCTGAGAGATCCACCATAGCTCTGTCAGGCTGTATGGTTTCACGAGTGCGGGGTGGAATTAGCACAGCTCTACCCCGCGACCACTGCTTTACTGAGTAGAAACGGACTCTCCGTGTATTAAATATCGCTGTGTGTATTTATACAACATGAAGGGAAAACTTTGCTTGCGCGTTTTAGGACATTGCTTATTTTCTCTTAGAATATATATATTTTTGTTAAATTGGTGTTTATTTTTGCTTTAGTGGACCTGTAAAAATTGTATGATAGTAATATTTTTTATTTGTTGTTTGTATTTACATAGGAAACGGCAACATCGCAGTTCATTTTCTAGTTTTTGTTGGCTTTTGTGTTAAAGAATGGACTATGTATTTTATTATGGTGAAAAATAATGACTGACATTTATTTTCGCAGTAATAAATCGTTTCATCATAATTGTTACGAAGTTACTTACCAATTTCCATACTAACAGTTTTTAACTTACCTTAATCGATATAGTATTTAAATTATACATTATTTATGTTGAGAACATATATAACTCGAAGTATATTAGCATCTTTAAATCTAAAAAATAAAAGTAAATTATGAAATACGATAATAAAATAAAAATTAAAGGTAAACGCCTTCTGTAAAATAAACCGATACATTTTTCGATAAAGTTTAATTGCTAACATTTATTACACAGGAGGTTAAAGAAATAGAAGTGGAATGGAGTGTTGTTGGGAGATTTTAAGTTCTCTCGGTGCTTTACAATGCTTCATATAAGGACTAATGAACTCATAGGAGTTTAAGGGTCGTATTCTAGAACTGTACTCAATGCTCAAGTCAGGATTTGAGCATGCTTGAGTATGATTTCAAGCACTGGAAATACGACCCTAATGTCAAAGACTTGAGTATGATTTTCAGTGCTCACTGCAATACTCAAGTCAGGATTTGACCAGACTTGAGTATGATTTCAAGCGCTGGAAATACGACCCTAATGGCAATGATTTGAGTATGATTTCTAGTGCTTTGAATCATACTCAAATCCTGACTTGAGCATTGAGTAGAGTTCTAGAATACGACCCTTATTATTGTTGTAGATAAACAATTGATATGTAAGCTATATAGTTGTTTTAAGGGTACAAAAAGGCGCCGCTGAATGTATTTTCCTGCTTACAGATTGTAATGTACCACGTTTATGGCTGTTGAGTTAACTACATTATGTTCTATACATCTTTTCTTGAATTAATGACTGAATCAGAGTGTTCGTCGTTTCTGCGTTCGGTACACTTTTCGCCATCAGTAAACGAAATACTTATTCATGTAAATTCTTGCCATTGTTCACAAGGTGTAGGCTTACAGTCGAGTAACAATCGTCGTTAGAAGTGGCGCTACAATTTATAGTTTACTTATGGGTCTCTGTACACCATAACAACTAGGTAATTTTCTGAGTACACGCGTACTCTTCATAGACAAAGTAAAGTTTATACTATTTTTAGCACACATGAAGAGAAAACTTTGCTTGCGCGTTTAAGACCATTTTTAATTTTCGTATAAAATATGAATGTCTAGCAATTCACGCTGATAAGTTTGAGTACCTATTGTACGAGTATCATACCTTGACTAAGAAAAATACTGCTTTTAAATATATATTGACTTACTAAGTATTGTTTTTACGTTATCATAATAATGATGTAAGTTCGAAACTACATAGTACATAATATGTGCGTGTGTATTTTTACGAAATAATATTATACTTTTACAAACGGGCGGGATAATAGTAATCTTACTTACTGCAACTAAAAAACAAAACACAATTTATTTTTCAATGTAATGTTACGTACAACCATCGACATGAGAATGCCTACAACTGTAAATTTAGTCGAAGTCCACAGATTTCTTCCTGAAGGCAGGGTTGCGGAATGTTGTACTAGCTGGTTCGTAAATAGGATTTTGACATGGTCCACTCGTGTCACCCCTGTGTTCCTCCAAGAATCTTTCATATTCACGCCGGTCCCTGGCGTCCGTCAATACTTTCCATGCGATTAGCGTTAAAATACCTATCACTAACATGGTCACAAGCATTATGCCACCGTACACTGAAAAATAAAAATAAAATCTAAATTATGAAGATTTTTCTATTCAATTAACATTACAAAAAAGTACGTATTTAATGAAAGTAAAAAAAAACATATTAATAAATAACTAAAAATAGACGGATTTGAACCTGCGCCCCATCTGCGCCCTATCAGTTTTAGGTAGCACTTGAACCAAGTTTTGGTTAGCGAATTACTAGTAGCGCCATCTTCACTAATGCATTGGAACTAATGCTATCTATAATTATTTCTTCTAAGAAACTTACTATAATAACTTTGTAGACAATTATGTTTATCGTTAACAAACAAATCTATTTGGTAAATATCGTCGCTGTATCGATACTGGAATTCGGTGTAGCATCCTATATCGTTTTCTAGAGGAACATCTTGACAAGTCATTGTGTTGTTCACTTTTGGGGTCTTATGAACGATTATACTCGTAAAACAAGATGCGCAGTGTTTATTTCTGTTATATTTAATGTTATCGTATTGACATACAGCGCATGGAGTGAGCAGTTGGCATTGTTTCTGGTGGCAGTCGGCACATTCGTGTATTTTGCAATTATTTTTGTTTTGCGAGCGGCGGGCATCCCATAATGAGTCAATTGGTTCACACTCACATTCAGCGCATTTACATTTACCGCGGCCATTACATTCCTGAAAATTAAATGAAAAACATTACTCCTATTCCTTTTTTAAGCCTCAGTAGTTCGAATTATTAAGAAATCCAACGCTATCACTGCGGATGGATCCTATTTAGACAGCATCGAAAATACTAAATGCCTAATCAATTTATTCACTGTGATTGGTTACTCAAGTTCGTCTAATTATTATATTAAGAAATGAAACTTTTTTTCGTATTTATATTATGTTTATTTGTTTTTTCATCCAATTTATTACTTTAAAAAAAAGATGGTTTCTCCGTACCTACTGCCAGTTTTGGATTAATTATTTCCTCAGACGAAAAATCCCAAGCAGACATAATAAGATTGTAGTCCTAATTAATATGTTTTAATTTATTTGTAAATATCGTTATTATTAATAAATTTAATAGTAAATTTAATTTAGTTAAAAATTCATATTGTTAAAATAAAATAAAAATATTTAGTAAAACGTTTGTAGCGAAAATTGGATTAATCTTTATAAGATACTAAGGTGGATTATATTATTATCATTAGCTAAAAAAAGTGAGCTTCTAGTGTTTAAGCCGCGGGGTCTAGTATAGGGCGTTGTACCGCCGGTCTCCTATGGCTGTGACCTTGTGAGAGTATTCAAATTTAAATAAATGGGTCACTGGGTGAATGATGATCAGTCCAATCTGGTGGACATTGAAAGAGAGCGGAGAACCTTTGCGGTAACGTGCTTGTCCGGACGTTTACACGTTGTAGTATAATGGTCAAATTAACGCTTTTTAAAGCTTTTGTCAAACCTTCTACACGTGTAGCCTTTGGGTGAAGTATAGTGTGACTCTAAACACTTCGAGGGTTCAGTATAATAATGCGTTTAGGATGTTGATGGGACTGCCGCGGCACTGTAGCGCATCAGGTATGTTCACAGAGGCGCGCAGAGGGCTGCAACAGCATCCTTGCCATTGTGGGAAAAAGTTTGGACTGCCCCATTCAAAACCACTGGACGAACCATCGAACTTACATGTAAGAAAGCATAGTGCATGATTATATTATTTAATTGACTCTTGTTTTTGTTATTTTAATTTTAGTTGTTTCTCTTCACTTCATGTCATTTGTATTTAATTTAATTGATTTTATTTCGATTTCATTTTATTTAATTGTTTGTGTCAGTATTTTGTTAATGTAATTGTATGTGTGCGCTTTATAATTTTATAATAATTTTGTATATGGATGTAATTAATATTCCGAAATAAATTATTTGAATTTGAATTAGACATAAGTGGTTGATGAATTTACCACCTCAATCAGCTGTTACCATGAGTTCTGTAAAGGGCCCGAAACGTGGGTTTGTTTAAAAAAAAAAAAACAAATAAATATACGCGATTTAGGTTCGGTAATATAGTTTCATTTCCTTTAAGTACCAATCGCGAAAAAGTAACAACTCGATGTTTCTCATTTCTCCAAAGAGCATTCATAATTTATATGAAAATAACAGCAAATTTTTAGAGAAAACACACTTTTCCGTTAATCATTTGGCAAGGAAGCTTGGAGCAGTTGCAGTCGTCCCCTGTCCAGGAGCCTTGACAGTCCTTGCACTTGCCGCAGTCACACACGCCGCGCTCGTAGCACTTGTGGGTACAGCTGAGATCGCTGCAGTGGCAGAATTTACCGTTGAACCTACACATACAATACAATCGATTGCATCCGAGATGTTTAAACGAGATGACCAGAATTGTCGGGGCAAATGTTGTCCCTGTACGTCCCCTCCGCTAAATAAATTTAACCTACGGCCACGCGTTGGGTCCAACTGAAAACCACCGTTACAGTAGTCGAGCTGTTACATATGCTGAATTGGATCCATTTCAGCTTGTAATTGTAATCTTTAATTTCTTTTAAATAAGTGTTACTGCTGAATAAACGTTTCTTTCTTTCTTTTACTTTCATAATCTGCTGACAGTGCCAGCCGGGGTGCGCATTGTGTCTCACACTAAATCACCGCGTGTCCGTGCACCACAGTGCGATGTTTTTGCAATTAGATGGGTGGTTGTGTGTGATAATTCATGAATGTTTAAGGTTTTGTGAGAGAATGGATGAGCGTCTGACTTCTGTGAATTACTAATTGTTCAACATAGCCAAGTACTAAGGAAACCCTGCTGCACACACATAGACAACAACAAATTACACCTAAACTCAGGAGTGAAATAAATGTAGACCATACAAGTATTTCTCCCGACCTGGGAATCGAACCCGGGACCTTTGCGTGGCAGACCAGTATGGTAATCGTTCGGTCACTGAAGTAGTTTTGTCAGTTATTTATTTATTTATTTCCCATCCCAGTGCCTTGGTAATTTACTGTAATGCTGTCATTGTATGATATAAACGATACCGTACTGATGCGTCACGTCAGACAAAATGTGAATCTGGCTTAGGCTCCACTCTACAGTGTTGCCAAGTAACCAGAATTTATTCTGGTTGGTTGTTGGTTTAGTACATTTTTAACACTTTTTAATTAAGTGTCTGTGTGAGTCTGGAAAATGCTAAAAATTGTGGTGACTCGACTTTTTTGAGACAAAGATTCCTGGAATGAAAGTCTACATGAAAGTGTTTACGTGTGTGATTAAATAGGTTATAATAATATTTCCCTGAAATTCGAAAATCGAATATTGAAATTTTCTGTTAAAATTAGTCATCGATTTGTTATATTTCGATAGTTAATTTGATAGTTAATAGTTATTTGTTTTGCAAGGCCGCAAAGTTGATATTTGACGCGAGTGCCTGTATTCAAACAAGCGAAGGATTATAAGATTGAAAGATCAAAAATAGAATCCTGAGCGTAGCGAGGGTTTCAATACACGAGACGCAAAACAACTTTGTTGTCGAGCGAAACACACAACTTTTGACCTCACTATAGCGAGGAAAATGGCAGCTGAAAGAAAAACAGTTGAACTATAACAAATCAGTTTAGATCTTCGACGAATTACAGTAATTTAATAAACAAAATTAGTTCTTGTAGTCAATTTAATGTCAACAATAATTAGAATAAAATATGCCAACGGATTATATTGTGTAGGTAAATAATATACGACGTGTACGACATATTGCGTAGTTGAACTTGTCAAGTTGTTTTTTCATCGAAAGAAAAAGCACCACAGTCCATCGTCAAATTCGAACTTCAAAAACTTTTTCGACGCAAGCGTGGAAAATACATTTTTGCGTGCAGATTTCTAATGAAAAAGAAAGAGCTAGTGAAGTGAAAAGTATATTTTCGATGAGTGAGCATGTAGTTAATTTTAGATGTTAAATATAAATAGCTCTACAATTAACGCATTCGACTTGCCCTTTTGAAGATTGATTTTTGCGAATAGAATAATAAGAGTTTTTTCTGCTCTTACGGCTTAAAACTAAATAAATAGATAATATAAAATGTAATTGTAACAGTAAAAGAGTACAGCAGTAGGGCTCCATGTGAAAGAGTTCGTCCAGGGAAGTACTGCCACCTTACCTATTTCTGTCGCCAAGCATAATAATGTGATGAAGCATAGCAATGTGAGCATTACTGCGTTCCGGTTTTGAAGGGTAGGGGTGCTGGTGTAATTACAGGCACATGTAAGTTATGTGTCAGGGTGAAGGGCACAGGGCAGTGCCCCTCAGAGCTCTGCAATTTCGAACTCTGAGTGGCAATTGCTGTAAACAGGCGTGTTGTTTACCACTAGGCATGTCATGTTCGCCCTGCCACTTTGTATCATAAAAAAAATTGCATTGATACAATTTGAACATTTTAGGTGCGTAAGCATGGTGTTTATCAGGAAGGTCTAAAGTCCGTATGTGTCAGTTAGGAAGGAAAATACCCGTTCTCTGTCACAGGGTTTGAGGTCGTTAAATAAAGCAACACATTCGACTTCCGCTTTCGAGGACAGATTTTTGAAAAACGAGTAAATAACGTTTTTTTTTATAAATGATTTCTTCAAATTGGAATGTTTCCAAAAAAATTTGCTAGAATTGAATCTTAGATACATCTCACGTTTCTCATCTTTCATGCTATGAAAAAAAAAAAAACTGCATTTTGAACCGCACTACGTTGCATGTAAGTATATTTTAAATTGAACGTGCTTTTCGGATGGGACACAACTGATAAATTGTTACATTTAAATAGATTAACGATGATTGTTTTCGTTGCAGAAATTTTGGTCAGAATTTTAGTAAGTAATCATGTTCCGACAGAGAACACAGGCTATGATTCAAAAACAGCACTATTCTGAATCTTCGCCTATTTCATCAATATATTATTAATAGAAATCAGAGCAGCGCATATTTATTGTGATTTATTTATTGTAGCACATGTATCATTACTGTTTCTTTTTTTTCGTTGTTTCTGTTTTTGTAGGGATTTGGACTTTTGTTTGTTAAGTTACAAATGTTAAATAAATAAATGTGATTTTCTTTATATACCTATGTGTATTTGATGATTAAAATCCTATTTATTTATTTACATTAGAACTGTATTAAACCACACGCATTTTGATATTACCGCATTTCGCAAGCTATACTTCATGCGTATATGTATCTACTTGTAAAAGCTTTGATTCCGCAGATAATCGTGTTTGAAATCAAATGCAAAACGGTTTCAGATAGATTATAAATTATAAAACTTATTTTTATTAAGTTTTTAAACGACTCCCTAATTACAATTTTAAGTACAGAAATTGTTCAACTCCTAGTGTAGGCTTCGTCTCTGTTATTTAAGCTCTGTTCTGTTAGTTTGAAATAATTTATTGTGATAGAATATAAACAAATATTATTAAATAACGAAATAAAGGAAGGTCTTACCCTTGGGAGCATTTTTCACAGATTCCACAGGAGCAGATGCCGCGTCCGCTGCACAGCAAATCAGATCCTGGACTTTTGCAGCCCGCGTTGTCGTCAAGAGTATTGTTGTTCTTCATGCACTCGCATTTTGAACCATATCTGCAAAAATATATTAGAGTTACATAATGGTGAAGATAATTTTCTCTGTTCTCGGTCTGTGACTTTGTTGCGTGAATGCTTTATCGCATATCGTCATAGATTTTCGTGTACTTCTTTTCTTTTCCACCTTTTTGAAGCCGTCCTCGTCGCACTTACAAATGAGTAGCATAGTGTTTAATGACTTGAATTGTTGAATGCGATGATTTTATATGAAATGTGAAATAAAGACGCTCTTGATTTCAATTTTGTAAAATTATTACACGAAGAAATGAAACAAAAAAAGTAGAAAAAGTTATACAAAATCTTTACGGCATTCAAAAATGTTGTATTGGCATATTTTTAAGAAATAGCTATTAGAATTCTCGCCGTGATCATTATCACCATCATCATCAACCTATTTATACGTTCCACTGCTGGGTAAGGGTATCCTCTTAGGCAAGGGTTAAGGCCATAATCCTCCATGCAGGTCCGATGCGGGTTGGGGGCTTCACACGTTTTCTGAGGGTTGTGAACTTTCTTCTACGTACACAAGTTTCATCATCGATAAGCTCATGGAAAATTTCTAATTAAATTTCCTACATAAATTTCGAAAAACTCAAAGGTGCCAGCCCGAATGCGAACCCATGGCTTCTGCTTGAGGGCGTTAAGTCAAACTATTAAGGCTCTAAGTCTAAATCTATCAGTGCTTTAAGAAGTCTGCTGAGCATTGGCGAGGAGTATGCTAAAACTCATGGCCTTAGGTACAATGTAAATAAAAGCGAGTTTTTAATTTTTGAGGCAGGTTGTGCTAACCCTATGCGGTGTGCCACTACATAGGGTTTCGCATTTTAAGTACCTAGGGCACTGGGTGACGGAGAGTCTATTTGACGACATGGACATTGAGAGGGAGCGTCGAGCGTTGGCAGTGCAACATGCTGGCCTGTATGTTGTACTAGAAACGTAAAGCTCACGCTTTTTAAAGCATTTTGCCAATCTTTTTACACGTGCAGCTTATGGGTCAATTATACACAGAAAGCGTATTGCGTCCTATTGGTCCAGTATAATGACGCTCTCGGAATGCCGTTGGGGTTGCCGTGCTACTGTAGCGCTTCGGAAGTGTTTACCGAGGCACGGCTTTAGTGCCACTTTGAGGAAGCGGGTAGCAATGGCCTTCTTCGTACAGTGGCCGATAGAAACAATGGGCCGATGTTATATTAACAGGTACACGTCAATGTTTAGAGAATTCATATTAACATAGTTTGTAAGTATTTTGTTACTAACACTATATGGACATTATGTAAGAAATAATGATTTGAATTGATTTGAATTTATCATGTATTGCAAGTGTATAAGTACTGTGCAGTGAAATTTAAACCAGAGAGCCATTTGAGTTTTACGAAAATTTGCGATTACATTATTGTAGTGCAAGTGTTATTTTACTATTTCTCGGCAATCTTCGTATTTAGGCTGTCGTGGAAATTCTATAAGAGCATTTTGCATTTGGTGTACACTGGACGAATTTAATCGATTTGGAAGTGTTGTAAAGTAGCCATTACTTTTCATTTTTAAATCAAATGAAAAAAATAGCTTCTGATAGTCAATGCTTCTGATTGTAAATTAATTGAAAAGATTATGTAATAGGCGGAAAAAGATTTTAAGATTAATTTTTAATTATTATTTAGTTTATGGTTTTTTTACTTGGTTGGTATGTTGATATGGAGTAATAGTATATTGTGTATTAAAGACGGTAATAAGAAACTATTACGAGGGTGTATTAGAACTCGAGTATTGTATTTTTTTACCGTCCGTGATACATACAATATTTTTCATCACATTTGCGAGGAAATAAATACAATTTAGATATGGTTCACACATTGATTTACAAATAAATGGACGACGGGTCTAATACAAAAACCACGAAAAAAATGTCCCAAGTCAACCTATTCGAAATTTAAATTGTTATGTCATCGCAGTATCGCGCTGTCCGTAGAACAAATGAAGACTAAAGCGGAGTGTCGCGCTCTGTATACGATTTTAGCGCCTTACAAGTGCGGACACTTTTTATCGCGGACCCGACGTCCATATAATTGTAAGTCAATGGGTTCACAACACAACAATTTTTTTTTCTTATTTCTTTCTATTTTCTTATTTTCTCTTGGCTTTTCGCGGTGAGCGTTTTAGCCACAGAGTGAACACAACAAATTATGGATTTGGCAAATGGCGAGTTTTTTTAAATCTTTCCATAGATAATACAACTCGAACTAAAATATCGTAAAAAGCAAACACGCATAGAGCCATTTATTTTCTGGTCGTTATTGCATGTAATTAGCACATGCGATATAAATTCATATTTCCAGTTTAATGTTAAAATAAGTACCACTAAATAGTGAATATGCGTAACCTTTGTATATACTCTTATGATGTCATACTTAAAAGTAAAAAACTGCCATCAAAAATTTAAATAAAACCTATAATTTTTTATTTGTAGTTGTAAACTGATAATTTCTGATTTCATTTCCAATTAATTATGGTATTTATACTATAATTTGATAAATAATTGTTTATGTGGTTGGAAATTACTTCACTTATAGGAGCTCTTAAATAAGAATAAAAAGGAGCAGTGCATATTACCGATCTGGGTCGCAGTGGCATGTTCCACATGTTTTAGTCCCATTTCCATAACAATATTTAGATTTGGCTTCCGGTCGTTTTGCACAATCACAATTGATAACTTGAACATCCAATGTTAACCTTTCATTAATGCCTTCAATTGCGATGTCGACGGATATTCGATCCTCTTTATAATATTTTGAAAGAGAAATAGTTCCAGTTAGCGTATTTTCTTTATCATGTAACACTGTACAGTAGCTTTTTAAGTAAGGATCGTTGTCAGATCGTTTGCTGGTGCAATCTGGATTGTATTTAATCTCTATAAACTTTCTGTCTGTCGCCGTCATATGGTCTTTAAGTTTTAAAGTACGTGTTATGTTCTGGAAATAAACGCAGATTTGAAGTGGGTCATAAAACATTTCAAAAATATTTTTTTCCTATTAGCGCTTTATGTTTATTATTTTACGTAGTAATTAAGTTATGATCAGAATCAGCTGAAAATAAGTTACCTCGTAAATATCCGACAAAGTGTTTTCTATTGTGCCTTCAAATTGGGCTGTTGGTGCACCACCCAAAAGGAACTTTTGAAAATACTTATGTTTAGATCTCTTAATAGGTTTTGTCAGCTGTATGTATTTTTCTTGAATGTCATTAGCCGCATCGACAATAAATATGATTGTCATGTCAGAATCTGCTGCTAATTTGCGAATAATTCCTATGGAAGGAAAGTCCATTTCTAGTTCTTTTGTATATGTACCATTTTTGGTGTAACATTTGCCATCGTAGGGCTGCGTGATGCCTGCTGCTTTCCCGTCTCCAGCAATACTAAATAGTGCATCAGACATGTATATTATTATTTTTGTTGAATCTTTTCTCCATCCAATTTCGTCGGTGCAAACCATTGCCTGGGCAAGAGCATCAAAACCACCTGAAGTGAACCCATCATCGCGAACATTTTTGCTAATACTCATATTAGTAACCGCTGTCTGAAATTCTTTGTAATCTGTAGTTAAACTTAAGAGGTGTCGGTATGATGAAATTGGATTGTCTTTATCAATCCTGCGAAAAAACAAAAGAAAATTAATACGTAACGATGATCGTAGTATAGGTTTGTTCTATATAACTACTTTGTATATATCTACCTAAAAATAAAATCAAAATGTTACTATGTCAACCAACCCACTGAACACTTCAGTTTCAAGATAAAATTGTAGACACTGTGAGAAGTGTATAAACTTGAGCATGAGCATTATCTGTACTAAAACCTAGCATTGACGTACTCACTTAAAAATATACAAATTGTCAAAATTCCCTGTCAAAAATCGTAGCATGTTATTCACGTAGTTTCCAGTTTGCTGTTTGAAAAAGTGACTTTATGTAAAAACTCTTCAGTACCATAAAATATCTCTAGAGACATAAATAACTTACTTCGTTATAAAAGGTAATGTATTCTTGTCAATGAACGATCCCAATCCTATGTAAACGTTTTTGGTCTTGCTTCGCATTTTCTCGTAGATTTCTTTGCTGGCATCAATAATCGCTTTATGAATTAGCTTCATCGATGACGAAGAATCAACGAGGAAGTATAAATCGGCAGGATAATCCGTAGCGCTTTTGAAGTTTATTTTGAAATCTACGCTTTGTCCTGGACGTAGTTTAATGGAGTAACTCTGAGGTCTTATTTGTGTTATGGTAACATTTGTCTCCGTGGAGTTACTACCAGAGCTGTAATTGTTGTTTAAAGATACTGTTTGTTCACTTTGAGGGTTTTCAAACAAATCGCATTTGTTGAAAGTTTCATTGGCTGCTATACATCTATTAGTAGCATTGTAATCATCCTGAAAAATACAATAATGTTTATGTTATACAAATCTATGTCCTATTTAACCTTTATAAGGAAAATAAATACAAATGTTAAGCTCCATTTTGGTCATACGAGTTAACAACATAATAAGTGGTAGGTAGTGATACTATATGTATTTTTAAACATTTTCCTAGTTGGTGCGTTTCGAAATGATGCTCTAAGAAACAAGGAAAAAGGACTTTAAACAAAGGAGGAGGAGGGTTCTCAATTCGATTGTATTTTTTTTGTGTGTATGTTACGCGATTACTTGTGAATATTGATGATTCCTTTTTGTTGAAAAGAGGGTACCTCAGTATTGGTCGCATTTAAATTTGAAGAAAATATTCCACCTCTAAGTGTAGCAAATTAGGGGATAAATCAAGTTTATTGTATTTCAACCATTTCCGTGTTTCAATAAAACAGATGAAACACGGGGTAGACTGTCCAAAATATTAGCAGATAGCTTTTGTATACTTTGGATAGCTGCCAGTCCTCTGTTCTCAGAAGCTGCCTTTTCTTTTGATATGTTTTTGTGCAGAGAATGGGCGCTTGGACTGTCTTGATTCCGAAAGTTGCGAATAAGGGTTCAGAGTCGTTACATGACAGAACTTCTTGGTTCAGAGTTTTATAAATATTATCTCTGCCTGCTCATAAAAGTGTTGTTAAGCAGTCGATAAAACAACCTTAATACAATGACTTCAAGAGACACTTTAATTTTGAATTGACGATCATGTTTAGTCATCATCTTATACAGTTGAAAAGGTTGTAAACCGTCAATACGGAGCAATAAAATAGATTGCTCGGTCACATAAATTTATTGTATACGATAAAGGTAAAAGAAATGACTGTAAGAAAAAAAAATGGTATAAATAAAACAGGTACCTACAATATTTAACAAAACACTCCCTACTTAAATACTATAAATTGTGAGACAGTAGACTTACCTCAAAAGGGCCATATTTACAAATATGATTAGATTTTAGTGGTATTAAATACGCACATGATTTGAAATGGAAACTGGTAAACGGATAAAATTAGCGGTGAAGACGAGCAAGAGTGCTCGCTTCAGAGATTAAGCAAATAAAGCAGAGTCAGAACGAAATAAAGTCAGAATGACCCATAATGAATGAAATGAAAGAATGAATGAACCAGAGAAATGGTGATGAAAGGGTGGAATGACAATGGAGGAGGTCGCATCATCACACAGTGAACTTCAATATGACTTTTATAACTTCTTTTCCAAATGCTATCTAACATGCATTAACATTGTAAATTTAAATTTAAAAAATAAATGAATTAGAATGTTTATATAGTTCATAATTAATTTGTTAGTATTGGTTTAGGGTTTCACACTATATTTGTATTACTACTACCTTGAAATAATAATGAAAGCGAATAATAAAACATTGTGTTTAAGCTTACCATTGCACACCACTGGCATTGTAAAGAATCCTTAATGCAATCGCCACAAGTTTTGTGATCGCTACACATAGTCCATGCTACAAAAGCAGAGCATTTTAACATTAACAAAAAAAGCCACAATTTGGCAACCATTGTAAGTGGTAGTTAGAAATTAAATAATGAACCACGACAGAAACATAAGGAAAAAATATAATAAATGTGAATTTATATTAAATATCCTGTTGCAGTGATGTTTTAGGTACAACGACAGGCAGGAGATAACGACCTCATCGTTGTGGTGTTGTACTGCCAACGGTAGAGTAACAATATATAATAATATGAGCTTTGCGTTTTGACGCTTTATGCCAGAAACGCAAAATGCCACCTGTGCAGAACGCCAGATTGCAGAATGCCAGATTAGTAAAATGCCAAATTCTCATATTCGTTGGTATATTTTCTTATTATTGTTGACAATAAATTGACAACGATAACTAATTTTGTTTAATAAATTATTTTTGATGTATGAATGAATAAAACTGATTTGTTATAATTTAACTGTTTTTCTTTCAACAACCCTTTGCGTCGCTATAGTGACGTGAAAAGTTGTGTGATTCGCTCGGAAGCATAGTTGTTTTGCGTTTCGTGCCTTGAAACCCTCGCTACGCTCAGGATTCTATCTTTGAACCACGAGCGAGCCTTCGCTTACTCAGGTTTCAAATACAAGCCCTCGCGTCCAACAATTTATTTGCAGCCTTCCACAACAAATAACTATTTTTCTTTTATTATACTAAGTGGCGGATCGAACAAGTTTGTTATTCTTTGGATCTAAATTATATTATATGAAATACATTTAATGAAATGAAATCAATTATAGAACTAACCTGACCTAACACACAGTCGCCTTGTTTCAGAGGCGTGTTAAAAAGATTGATCTTATAAAATGTACACAGTTTTCCCCAATTTACCCTAAAATTGGGAAAAACTCTACTTTGAAAAAATTTATTTGCTTTGAGGGTTAAGTATGGCGACACTAAATATCGCAGTCAGGTTGCCTGATCCTACATCCGTGCGTTTCTCAACTCCATACTTTGAAATGCCGTATGTTGTTTGCCATCTGTCGCCTCGCTTGAAACAGTACTGTTATGTTACTTTCAAAACAGTTTTTTATTTTCAGAATCACCTTTAAGAATTTTTAATAGTTTAATTACACAAATTTTAAAACGATTTGTGTCCGTTTATTATTATTTAAAATTATCAATGGCACTACAATACGACATTTTAGAGCCAATATTTTTTAATATAGGCTTTTGTTGTATCGGTTTTTATATCCTTATACATCCTTTTTTTTAAATATAGTTATACGTACATTTATATTATTTTACATACTTATTTTTTTATACATTATATTTATTGGCAGCCATTAAGAAATACTAGAGTGATAGTTACATAGATGTAAATTGTCTTTTAGACCACTCAAGATGGAAATTCCGGTGATATGTAGGTCTAGAAAATGAGATTTATTTTTGAAGTTATATTTCAAACATTCTTAAATATTTAATATAATATTATACTTAAAGTACATCACTATTTTCCTTCCTCGCGGCTTGGATGATGTATGTCAGGAACATTAACGCATTCCGAAAGCGATGATTCCATTATTCAGTACTCCTACTTACATGAATTCATTATTATATATACATTTTTCCGTAAGTTTCGTATTCTTAATGTCGGAACTGAAAACTGCACAAAAACATGTGACCATTCTGTTACATGTTTAGAAATCTAATCTAACCTGGTGTACTGATGAAAGTAACTTTTAATTCATAATATTTAAAATTGAATTTAACTCCTAGGCCGGTAAGCCAGGTTTTTGGGTAAAATTTGCGTAAGGCCCTATTTGGGAAACGGCCTTTTCTGAACTGGTTCTGGTTTTAGTGTTTTGGGTTAATTTCGTTGTTCTGGTACTCATAAGGAATTTCCTGCTCACGTTCATCGAGTATAAAACCAGAAATAGAGTCGAAATAAGGGCCATCCATCCCTGGTAACTCATCAGGCAAATGGGCATTATATCACTTTTAAATATTAATTCTCGTTTGCACTGAAATAAAAAATTAGGAAGTTGAAATAGTACAGCGCCAGCAACTGACCTGTGGTATGTACGTCTCCGTGTATTCCAAAAATATTCTGTATTTATTCTAATAAAGATAATATCTCTAACTACGGGGGGCTGTTCCATTCAATGGTGTGGGAAAAACAGCAAAACATCTTATTACAAAACAAACGCAATCACATTTAATTAATTAACTAAAGCCGGAACGAAGA